CTGTGTGACTTCTTCCTCTTCCCAAAGATGAAATTTCAGCTAAAGGGAATTAGATTTGAGACGATAGAAGAGATTCAGGCAGAATCGCAGATGGTGCTTGACAGGCTGACCAAGAAAGATTTCCAGGGATGCTTCCAGGCTTGGCAGCGGCGCTGGGATCGTTGTGTTCACTCCCAGGGGAACTACTTCGAGGGTGATGGATGAATTTAATACCTGAGATAAGTGTACGGGTTTTTATATGCGCAGTCTGGAAACCTTTCGATCTCACCTCGTACACCCACGAACACATCAGCAGAAATTTCTCTCTAAGGTCATCGCTTTCCTTATATTTCAGTTACAAACGTTATTTAAGTAATTTTTTTTTCCTGACTCAGTTTTGAAATGTACTGATGGAACAGTGAAATGTAAATGCTGTAACTTGTAGTTTCATTTTATCCTTTTTAACGCTCGTTTAATACCTACTCATCCACGTGTTTTTGGTTCGAATATAGATATTCATATTTGATACGCATGTTATCCAATCAAAATTGCTCGCACGCTCTCCTGTTCGTATATAGACGTACCTCACTAAACAATCAGTGTGTCTGATTTATTGGATTTTAATCAGTAATTTAGTTGTTGATTAAAAGTTACTTCATCGTCGACCCTCGATAATCGATGCTGCTTAAGTAAATGACTTTCAGCACGCACAACAGTGCACCCAGGGCGTTCGTTCAGGGTGTCTCCCCGGACGGAGAACCACAGGCACCCGTTTGAACATGTTATTTTTATTTGTAGTGTTCTGTCTGAGGACAGGTCCATATGAACAGGATCCTTCCATCCTTTTCTCGGACTGGGACCTGTTCATATACGTTCTTGGCAGATGATCCAGAAGTGGTTTGCCATTGCCTTCTTCTGTGTGTGAATGGAGTAATTGTTGGGATGCCACGGAGGAAAACTCCGTGTTGCCTAGACCACGGCCTTGCCCAACACAAGTTATAAATCTCTGAGCACCACCGGGAATCGAACCCGAGACCCCAGAATTACAATCCGGTATTCAAAATACGTGACCCATTTACGACAATATTAACCATTTTGATTTCAAATTTATACCTTTGCTGTTTTTTTTAATAATTATCTTCAAGAAACTAACCTTCATTACCATATTAACAAGAGTCTGCCATTGGTCCCTATATTAAGCGATTTGAATTCAATTCACACTCTCACTTCTGTTTAACTTCCACTTTAATATTATTCCCAATTACTCTCAGGGTTCGTAAGTGGTCTTTTTCCTTTACATTTGCCAGTACCATTCAGACGTTAACTAGCACGGAAATTTTGTTAGATAATTTGAAAATAACAATATGTTAATCACGTAAAGTATTCAATGAGTATTAAGTATAAATGACGACTCACTGTGACTTTAAGTGTAAAGTGTGTATGGTGACGTCATAAACACGCCTGTTGTTAGTATGACTGGTATTAAAACGGAACCCCAAATCGCGTCTTTGCGACACTCTGTATAACACGGTAAACTATTTCTTGCTTTGCTGTTTATAGCTCGTTCAGAATAATCTGTTTGCCGAGGTTTAAGGTTTTATATATTAGGTGGCGGTGTTGAGAGCAGTCTAAAGCGAATCCCACTGTAAGTGAAGGCACCCCCAGTCCCTAGAAATTAAAATTTAACGATCCAAAACTTAATAACACAGTACCTCATTGTAGTATCGCGTTCATAGCACGCCTCTGTCTTATTTCAAGAACCGTATAATTTCCTTGTTAGTGAAAGTCTAGCTGTTTATGAGAGAACGCGATGTACGTTATCTCAGCTGGGATTATTCTTACACCAGCATTTGATTATGGACATATACGGGCACCCAGTGCCTCGCCTTGTATGCATACCATTCTTCCTAGGACGTTGAGAATATAATCTGGGCTTTGAAACGAGCGGCGTCCTGTACACGAACCATCAGAGCCACCAGGACAGACCAGAAGTGAAATGTCAACGTCTTCCCTTGTTAGCTGAGCGACTGTCTGTTCTTGAGGAAGAAATTCTGCTTCTTGATGTTGGTTACAGATTCATACATCTACGATGAGTCACTGTGTTCGATTTGTTTAATACTGCAAGCTGTGCTGATGTATTGTAACTTATGCTTTCCGTGTTTACATTTTAAGCTTGTTTTCAAACGCCCGACGTTTAATTTACGTCAATTTCTTTATTTTGAGAAAAAAGATTTGCCATGTTCTTAAGGGCGGCGGATCCGAAGATGGCCGTCTTCTGGGATGTTGCGCCTTGTAGTCTGGTAGAGAAGTTCACCGACGTTTCAGAACCAGTCATCGCCCTGATGATGGCAGCAGTAAGCACCTGTGACACGTTGTGAAATTTTCCCCTACACCAGATGTTATGTTTATACCGCCGTTAATGGGTCGTCTTGGAGTAAATAATTACATGTCTTCTACACCAGATATAATTGTTATAATGTCACTACTCGGTTTTCAGAGCCTCGTTTGTGAAACGGCGTGAACCTCGTTGAGATGACGGGGCTTTATATTGTGCTTCGTGTTGTTTTTTATATTTATTTAGTGTTCTGTCTGACGACAGGTCCATATGAACAGGATCCTTCCATCCTTTTCTCGGACTGGGACCTGTTCATATACGTTCTTGGCAGATGATCCAGAAGTGGTTTGCCATTGCCTTCTTCTGTGTGTGAATGGAGTAATTGTTGTGATGCCACGGAGAAACCGGGGAAGCCCCCGGAGGAAAACTCCGTGTTGCCTAGACCACGGCCTTGCCCAACACTAGTTATAAATTCGGGCACCGCCGGGAATCGAACCCGAGACCCCAGGATTACAAGGCCAGCGTTCTAACCGCTAGACCACCAAAAAAATGATAAATTAAGTAAATGTATCGCAAAATAAGTCCCCCTCTGCTTCGACAATTGCCAACCACAACACTCGGCCTTTAGTGTCTTTTGTAACTTGCCCGTTAACTTGTAGAAATTCACTGATTGCGACTGGTTTGCCTGTGCTTATTACAGTGACGAAGTCCGAGAGCACGGCTTCACGGTGGTCGTCGACATGAGAGGCTCCACCTGGAGCACCGTGAAGCCTATCCTGAAGGTACTGCAGGAGCATTTTCCTGGCTCCGTCCACATCGCCTATATCATCAAGCCAGACAACTTCTGGCAAAAACAGCGAACTTCCCTGGGCAGTCACAAGTACAAGTTCGAGGTGAGTCCCGCGAGCGATAGATAAGGAGGCGTTTGAAGATGGACGTTGCACCTCGTACTCTGGTAGATATTGACCAAGTATTGAGAACCTTTGGGTGTCATAAAAGGCGAGGGTTTCCTTAATGTGTGAGGGACTGTCAGCTTCTCAGGGGTAAAATTCAGTGGAGTTCGTTAGTTTAGTTTAAAATGTGTTAAATAACCATCGGCTTTTTCTTACTGACTACAGATAAACCGAACACACACACACACACGCATCTAACACCCAATATAAACACATGTTATCAGTAATTAAATCACACTTCGCCCTGAAGAAGGAGGAGATATGTTCCTTCGAAACTGTGGTAGTCATTATTTTTTTACGATTTCAGTACTTACGTGTGAGAAAGTTGTTTTTGTCTCCTGGTATCGGGTAACTTTTTTTTTCTGCGAGCCGGATTTTTGCTGCCCATGGGCGAAGAGGAATTTTGATAACGTGGACTTGAACATAAAGAACGCTTGTGTGGGCTGTGTAGGCTCTCCGCCTTTTAATCTTGTTACGAAACCTAATTTGATGAAGAGTGGAAGAAACTCACTGTGCGGTTGCTGTTTCTTGGAATACCACAGAGTATTCGAGCTTACGGAGCATCTCTGGCGGTAAATCTTTGCAGACGTGATGCTGTCAGAAATTAGAACGATTCTAACGTGGGTTCTTTTCATGTGCTGAAGTCTTATGTTCGCTGTCAATGTGCCATGGAACATCCACGTATTTGAATGTGTCAGTATCTTGTACAAGCTGCCGTTGCCACTAGCAAGGACGTCTGTTTCCCGTGAAGAGCGCGCTCCATTCAGAGCTGTGTCGCGGATGAACCAACTGCCCGCCACGAAGTGACGTAAACACATGTGACTGATTGATAGGACGTAGAACCAAGCAGGATCTGTTTTCCGGTGTTTAGAAAATAAAACGAATGAAATCTCTACTCTTCTGAGGACATTAACCCCCCCCCCCCTTGATTTTACTTCCTACTCGACGGATTTCCTTGTTTCGAACGCCCTTGAAGCTGTCAGAAGCTGACGAGCTGAGTAAATGTTATCACATTTCCCGTTCTGCACGATTGACGTCCGACAGGGACTGTGTCTGCCTCAAGCGATGTCTGTAATGACGCACTGGTAAACTCGTTCGATCTTTGGCGGAGTTTCGTGAAGGAATCTCCAACCCCCCTCCCCACCACCTTCGTTTTGCGAAAAGGATGTTTTTCTAGTTCATCTCCTGTTGGAAGAAACATAGTACATATCGTTTTCCGTCTTGTGCTCTCTAAGTCTAGAAGCTGAAAAAGGTATTTATAACACTTTATGCGGGTCTGTTAATTATGTGATGGTTTTCATCTATCCTTTTACCCATTCCCGAAGTTTCTTTGTATGCAACTCTGCCTAGCCGCGGGTCGTTCGCGTCCTATCGCCCCCTCATCTCCCTTACTCAGTGGCTCTACTTTTAGACTGAACACGTGGTGGTGTCTGAACGCCGAAGACCCCGAGCTCACACAGCCAACTGACAAGCCAGCACACACACAGGTACAGAGCCGACTAACGTAAACGACACTCGTCACCTTTGATGTCGTCATTGCTGCAAGAAGATTAAATCAACGAGGCTGTGATTGGCTGGGGAATTAGCACGCATTACAATGGTTAAATATCAATCAGACAAGATGGCGCAGTATGCCAGAATAGAAACATTTTCAGAATGAGAATTGTTGAAGTTCATTTACATGGCGTTAGCCTGGCAATCCGGAGAGACCAAGAGGACCCATTTGGAACTATAGGTTGACTCAAAAATTGGGTCTGGGATCATTACAGATGCAAATTAGACACACTGGCTCCTCGCTGACTTGTTCAGAATTAATTACCGCGCAGCGAAACAAGATATGACCACAAGATATTTGTGTATTCACAGAGGAAAATGACTTTAAGAAATAAATTGGTTAAACACAAGAGACAACTTTATATGATAGCTGACTGTGTTGCTTCTTCTTGTGATGATGATGGTGAAAATATGGGATCGTGCCAAGCTTCATGATATACTCGTTGGTTCTGCGAGGAACAAGTAATCACCAATTTTGTTCATGACGTAGATCTGATTTTATCTGATCTCATTTTTTTCTGAACTGGAGTTCCACTTTGATGTCTCTCTTTATGGTTGAAGCCATCAGTAGTAAGATTCCGTTGACCCAGTTTCCAGACAATATCTTCTGCATTATGGGCACATTGTCTTGTCGGAGAAGCTGTAGTGTGTGAGCAGGAATAATGGAAGTGGAGCTAAAATGTGTTTTAGTAGCAGGTCTTTCAGTTCACTAATAGGAATGTCTTTTCTAGAGCTTCGTGTAGAAATGATATAAAAAAAAATTTAACAACACACACAGAAAAGTAAAATTCTGTGATTAGGTTAAGTGATGGTATTTTGATATCTGTGAGGTTTTCATTTACTTTTTTCTTACATCTCCACATTTCTGCCAAGTAAATTTCGAAATAAGACCTCAAAATGCACCGTCGCCTCCTTCTTATTTCATCGCACATCTGATGTTACACAGTTGAGAAAACGTAGTTAAATAAATTAAGCAATAACAAAAGTATTAAAAGCGATATGAGCATGTATAATGCTTTGTTCTGAAGATTTCCGTCTTCTGGGTTGTTGCGCTGTGGAGTCTGGTCGATGCCATCGCCCTGATGTCGGAGGCAGTATGACCTCTGAAACGTTGGTAAACATCGACCAGACTACACAGCGCAACAACCCAGAAGACAGAAATCTTCATACTCTGATGACTGAGGCAGTATGACCTCTGAAACG